GGTTGACTCAGGCAGCCCCTGCTCAAATTCAGTTTTTCCCTTTGCTGGCCAGGTGCCAGGCCGTCGGCTTTCAACCACGACACTCCCAGATCTGCAAGGCTTTTCCCTGCAGCCAATTAACGCTTGCTTCCAGCAAGCCCTGACCCCAAAGCAACTGCGTTTAAAAAAGCACTGCTCCAACACTCTGCGCCACACACATGTCGCGCATCGTCCCGCGCAAAAATAAGCATGAGCTAATCACCCTTGCAAGGATACAGCAAACTCCTTGGCCAAGTTTTTGGCCAAGTCATCCAGCACCTCATCAGTAGAATTCCGGAACTCCTCATTCTGCTTGCAGAATTTCCAGAACGTGTCCTGCCACGGAAACATAAAAATCCTGAATGCAGAGGCGTCGCAGAGGCAGCTGGAACAAAGAACATTGAAAAAATCAATGGTTGACGGTTTCCATTCATGGTCCTCATTCTTGGAACGCTTTGGGTAATTCCCAAGGTTGGCGCCGAAAGCATTCTTAATGGCAGTCCACTCAAGCAAAGCACGCGCAGCTGCAGGTGGGTTTCGACGGGCAAAGCTGACAGCAACCTTGGCAACCTTGGGACCACCTGTCTCCTTTGGGGCAGGCCTCTTCTTGGGGCCTTCAACCTTCGGGGCACTGTGCTCATCAGACTGGTTTGCGATTGGGCGGGATGGTGTCCTCGGAGGAGTGGCCTGGGAATCGGTGGGAACCTTCTTGGTGCCTTTAGCCTTAGCCTTTGCTTTCGACTTAGCTGTTGCTTTTGCCTTTGCTGGCTGCTTGGGTTTGCTGGCTGCTTTGGCCTTTGCCTTTGCCTTAGCTTTGCTTTTTGGCTTTCTAGCCTTTGGCCTACCAGGACCCCTCTTCCGTTTTGGTGGGTTTTCCTGATCCTCATCCTGATAGCCTCTCTTGGCCTGGAACTGTTCGATCCTGGAAGTTGGCTCCTGACAGGCCAACATGTATATGAAGCACAGACTGAACACAACATGTGCAATAAGTGCAATATGCGTTTTCAAGGCTGGCATGCCTGGTGCTCCATGGCATCGATCATAGGCTCTTCCACGGGTTCTTGTGGACCCTGGCCGCCCAAACCCGCTGAGGTGGCAGGATCAACATCAGCTGGTGGATTGGAAGGCTCTGCGGATGGCAGTTGTTTGGAGCGGTCAGCGGAATCCTCTCCTAGGATCAGAGTCGGTGCCCTCAAAAGTTCCTCAGTGGGGTCAACATCAGGAACAGGGAGTTTGCCATCCCCATCCAAAGCTATGGAGGCGCCGACATCGAAGGGCAAAGTGTCCACTACATCCGGATGTCCTGCCAGGGGCATAAATCCAAGCCCAAGCATGACGTTCAGCACGTATGAAACATGATAATCTGATAATCCCACATGTAACATGATAAGTCACCATGCAGCATCAGCCAGGCCTGCAAGCAGCGGTACCTCTGGCTGACGTGGCTCACGGGGCTGTAGTCGAGCAGCCTGGATAGCTTGGATCCGTTGCCTGAGGCAGCAGGGAAGGGAAACCCCACAAAAACGATCAAAAAAGAATACAATTGATATCATGTTTCAATGTAGCAAATATATGTCAGGGTACAAGATGGCTTGACGTTGCGAAAGCAAAGCATCCAAATCCACAGGTGCTGGCGCCGGTTCATCCACATGAGCTGGGGTTGGGTCAGCCCTAGCCAGTTCACCCACATGAGCAGGGGCTGGTTCATCCCTGGCTGGTTCATCC